TATGTAAATAATAGAGATAATAGGAAATCTACAACGTCCTATGTATTTACCTTATGTGGATCTTGTATAAGCTAGAAATCACAACTTTAAAATATAGTTGATCTTTCGACAACCGAATCTGAATACATTGCAGCCACTGAGCTATAAAAGAGTCTATTTGGTTAAAAGGGCTTATGTCTGAAATTGGTTTTTGAAGGAAAACGTTGTGGTATTTTATGATAGTCAATCAGGAATTCAGTTGTGCAAGAATCATGTCTTTCATGACAGAACAAAACACATTGATATTAAGTTTTACTTTATCAGAGATATTGTGGAACAAAGTGCTATAAATCTTGAGAAAATTCCTTACGAATTCAACCCTACTGACATGGGTACTAAGTGCTTACTTGTGGAGAAATTTAGATCATGTTTGAGGATTTTAAACATAATCTAAAAAAACATGATAAAAATAAAAATTGTATTTTCTGCTTGCCGCGTGAAAGTATTTTTTACTTGCTGTGTGATTGCTCTGTGTTTTTTAAATTTGTGTGATTTAGAAAAAAAATATCTTGGTGACTACATCCTTTGTGGAAAAACATTTTGGAATCTTACATTGTAATCTCCGTGATTAGTGTTTAAGATTCAAAATTACGGCAATAATAATCCCAGTCCATTAACGGTGTTCATGAAAATTCGATTTTTGGTCTCAGGTGAAAATTTTATTGAGAATTGAGCTCATAAATGAACTATGTGATATGGCCAGCCTTTTAAATTATGGCAGCCCAATTGAGGGAATTTTGGCCCAAAAAACTTAAGCATGTTATCCAAGTCAGACCCGATCTTGACCGTCCATTTTGTTGGGAATCGGACACGTGTACGCAGCGGAAAACAAAAATTTTATGCGAATCAAACTCTTTAAAACACATAAGCACATGCCCAATAATTGAAAACAATTAATTGCGTACCTTTGCGGTTCCAGCGAAATTAAAAAACAACATACATGCTAAATTATTCAAACGAATTTAAATCAATTAGCATGCTCGCGTTTAAATCAAATAATCATGCTCGCAATAAATAAACGATTTCATGTAGTCACATAAAATCATGCAAGTTTCATTCTAGAACGAACATATATATTCAATTTAAACGTAATCGAATCTAACGACAATGGATTCGAAAATTTACCTCTTGAAGCGTGAGGTAGGCGCACTAAGCAAAGCGAGATTGCTACGGAAACCAATCCGTACAATCCGGGGCAGCAGCGGTGGAGCGGCAGCAGCTACTAGACGAGCAACGGCGGCGCGTGTGGCTCACGCGCTGTCTTCGGGCGGCGCGTGGGAATGCGTGCGGCGTCAGCTCGTGTGCAGCTCCTCGATTCTTCGATCTTCGATCTTCCTCCTCTTGGATTTCACCTCGTATACTTCGATCTACTAAACACGTGTCACTAGACACGTAATAGTTAGAAAAATGGAAGAACAGAAAGTAGGAAAGAACTACCAATGTGAATCGGCCAAGAGATGGCCGATTCCGGCGACGGCGGCGGTGGTGGCCGCGGGGGAGAGTGGCCGAGAGAGAGGGAGCGGCTAGGGTTAGGGTTTTGTGCGTTGTGTGTGTGCAAGACCTATAAATCAAGTAGTTATAGTGTCTTGCATAAAAGCCCTAATGGGCTTAAGTTGGACCGGGCCCAACAGCTTAAGTTCGTTAGTCTTTTATTCGCTCGTCTCTCTCAATTCAATGATCGGAAAATTGTAACGATTACATTTTCGGAATCATTCTAATGTCCTCTTCATTACGAGTGCCAACTCTCGATTTCCAACTTTCCAAAAGTGGAAACCCTAATTCAGTGCACTTTCTAAATTTGGAAACTTCCCGATTTAGAAAGTCCACTAATATGTTTGCCTATTCTTTTCCTTTTCTTATTGTCATTCTTAATTCCAAATTACGAATGTTGGACCCAATTATATTGACTTCCAATCATGCAAAGATAAACCATTTTATCTCTGACCGTTTATTCAAAGATCTCATGTGCACGAGCAGTGTGACCCTCGATGGTTCAGGTGTAAGCTAGCCGTGGGCCCACAACCCTTTGTGGTCAAAACTCGTCCCTTAGAGTTATGATTAAGATGAAACTCGTTTCACCTTAATCACCCAACGAATCAAGATTGGCGTCTAGCAACTACGCATCATGATTCCCTAGATACAAGTGAAGTGCATAGTTAACGTACAGTACGATCCCTTTGATTCATATGTCCCGATTGAACTAGAGGCATTGGTTCATCGAGACCTCTTTATTTGTTCAATGACAGTGCGATCGTTCTAAGTGTTGTAATCGTTACGTGCATGACTTAGAGAATCAAATTCTCTAATCATCACTTAGTCAGCTCTGGCCAGAGACAAGTGATTACAAACTATCAGAACACACAGGACATCCAAAACTATTCTAGCGATCGAATCCCCGACTGCAATGCACAGACCTCCCACTAGATTTCGGACTGCACGAACACTGGCCCTTGGGATGGTCCTCGGTGGAACTTAGGGACAGGTCACGATACAGCTGGTCCTATAGTGAAGTCACGGTGATGTCTAGGTCATAAGGACTAATGGTGTACAACTATACCATAGATATCTCTACTCGATTATTGGGAATTACTTAGAGATTTCTAGGGTGAGGGAGTTCAGTGAACTCGTCAACTTACGAGCACCCACTTATGCATGCCTATATCACAATACCGTTTACTGATGAGATGCAGTACACATACACTAAGTGCTAGTCTCTTAATGGGAAAGGCCGATATCCTCATCGGTGGCGTAACCCTTCGACTAGGAACATGTTTAACAGTTATAATACTTAAGTAAATATCTCACGATCCTAACAATCAATTACTAGTACTTGTAATAACTGTAAGGACTATATCTATGCTTGTGACAAAGGGAAAAGATATAGAATGCCAAGGTGTTTTATCATTAATACGAATAAAGGTTCGTTTATTACCATAATAAATACGAAAGACCACAGCCACAAGTTGGCTTGTTGGTCACCTACTCTAACACATTTTGTGTAGCTAATCATGAACGTCATTTGTCTCTTTTCTTACTTCCCCTCAAACCCTAGCATCTTTCAGCTGCGCCGTTTCTCTCTCTTCTTGTCCCCCTCTCTTTCTACAGAACTTCGTCATCCATTATCGTTTTCCGGCGGCACCATCGCAGGTCTTGCCGAACAATGGATATCCTTGCTGCCGCATCACATTTAATGTTGAGGACAGTTTTGTTGAAATTGTGTGTATATATACTGTGGTGAGAGAGATAAGGTTGACTTTGTCTTTAATTCAAACCGAGTGTTTTCATCTCCAATACTCTTCTGTGAGTGATTGAAGATCTTTGAGTGAGGAAAACTAGCGTTTATGCTGAGTGGAGAGGGTGAGTTGTGACTGAGTTGACTGTGCATGTGTTGCTGAGTCAACTCAATGTGAGATCTAAGTATATCTAGGGTTTTGAGCTAGTGGTTATTGCTTGGTGCTTGTTTCCTTTTTGAAGTTGCTGTTGGTTGTAATACCTACACGCAAGTGCACGTATCGTACAAGTAATATAGTGGACAATTAAGTCCGAATATCGAACCCATAGGGAATATTTAATTACTTAATCCTAGACGCTAAATTCTAGCAATTATTATCAAGCCCACCCTACACAGTCGACTTTAGAGAGAATTAACTAAATTAAACTAAATTAAAAGGCAAGCAAAAACAAGAAAACAATTTAAAACGAAGATTTAATCAAGGTAAACAAGCCTAGGATTTTATTCTTCCCCCTATGTGATTATTACTCCCCCAATTCCTTCAATTATGCAAGCAATTAACCCGGATTATTAACCTGAGATGCTAAATTAATCATAACCCGCTTCCGCGTGTATTACGATTCTAATACTCTAGATTCAATTACTATATTCCTATGCAATTAATTCTAGAACACAGCATTAAGCACAAATCTCAATAATGGCTACCTAAGAGATTAAGTATATTCCTATGTTAATACCACAAAGGCTCTTCTACCACAGTTCTAATTATTAACCCGATCTTCCGATTCATGCGATTAACAATAACATAAAAGCGCATAAAGTGGCCAGTTTCATGAACTTAACAAAACAAGTAGAAGAAATAATTCGGAATTAAAACTTGCATAAAATCATAGAAAAGGGTTCATAAATCCCACATAGGGTTCAAAATAAAATCCTAGAAATAAGTAACTTAGCTACTCATGATTGAAGGAAAAACGCAAATAAAATAAGTCATAAACGATAAATCTATGCTTGGAGTCTTTGAATTCTTCGTCTTCCTTATTGCTTTGTTGCTCTTGAAATTGCGTGAAAAATCGATCCCCAATTGTGTGCTTGTCTTGGTCTTATATAGGGTGGAAAATTTGGAGAAGAAGGTAGTTTCCTTGTGCAATTAGGATTCCTTTACTGCACATTTTCGTCATCTCGGACGGCCGTCCCGAATTTTGTACTAAAACTTGGACGGCCGTCCCAAAACCAGAGGCTGTTTCTGCTTCTCAGACGGCCTAATTTCTTTAGATTTTTTATTTTTTTCAGTTTTGGCCCATATTTTCTCCAAAATTACAGTTTTGACCCCATACTTTTCTAATTCTTCAATTTGTACCTAAAATACAATAAATCAACTTTTTAAGCACCAATTATCGTTAAAACACACCAAAGGCTCAAATAAAAAGGTACGATAAAGTGTAAAAATATACACTTAACAGTTACCACCAAAACTTGAATCTTCTGGATTGAACACTGGAAAAATGAATTGAGCCGTTTGATTATACATACAAGTCTTTGTTTGAGCTATTTTGGATTTTATCTCTTTCCATATTTCTGATACTAGTATCTATGGCTGGAACTACTGGAACTTGTACCCAACACTTTCGAACATGTATATGTTATCAGTTATATGAACACTTTTCTCACAACTTACAAGTGAAGCAAGTGAAGTATGTTATATATATATATATATATATATATATATATATCGACTATCTCCCCTCCAATACAGTTATTGTGATGGTGTGTCCACTAGAATCTTGATTTGGTGTTGTAGAAAGATTACTAGTGCTGCAACTTCTTTCCAGGAAAAAACCAGGTTCCTTTGGTTCAGGCACAACTTCTCCTTCACATCCTAACATGAGAATCACATGTGACATCGTCGGCCTATCCTCCACGAGTTTTTGAATACACAATAACCCCACTTTTATACATCTCCTTACTTGTAACTCGTCAAACGATTCGTTCAAACACTCATCCATCAGCTCCATAGCCTTGTTCTCTTTCCACATGCACCATGCCTGCCACAAATATATATTATATATACAATTGCATTACACGAGTTTTATTTTGTTCATTCAAATACGCGCGTGTATATATATGTATATATATATATATTGGGGTTCAACTTACATGTCCCAAAAGGCTATGATGGTGATCTTGATGTCTAAACCCCCTGTTCTTTTTCCCACTCACTATCTCTAAAATGACGACCCCCATGCTAAAAACGTCTGATTTCACTGAGAATTTCCCGTCAATTGCGTATTCTGGTGCCATATATCCACTGTTACAAGGTTGTCGAGTAGTAAGTTCCAAGGAAAACAAATTTAAAAAAAAAAAAAAATTGGCTCTGATTTTTTGATTAGGTATATGGAGAGCTTACTAAGTCCCGACCACTCTTCGTGTTCTTGCCATAATTTGATCGACTTTGAAACTTCTTGCTAAGCCAAAGTCTGAAATTTTTGGATTGAAATGTTCGTCTAGTAAAATATTGCTCGTTTTGAGATCCCTGTGGATAATCTTCAACCGCGAGTCTTGATGGAGATAGAGCAGTCCCTTTGCAATTCCCATGATTATGTCGTACCGCATAGGCCATGTTAACACTGCTCTTTTGTCCTTATCTACACATGATTCGACGAAACTTGAGTACTGCGAAACGAGAAACAAAAAAAAGAAAAATTAAAGAATTCTTTTGGGGCCGTACGTACCGAAAATCAGACCATCTAGACTTTTGTTTTGCAGGTACTCGTAGATTAGCATTCTCTCGTCTCCTGTAACGCAACACCCTAAAAGTCGGACGAGGTTACTATGCTGTAGTTTGGAAAATAGAATAACTTCATTCTTAAACTCTTCAAGACCCTGTCCGGAAGTTCCCGACAATCTTTTCACCGCTATTTCCTCTTCTGCCGACAAGTTCCCCTGCATTTCCGTATATATCATCCGCATTCAAAAGTACTAATTAATACATAAAGAAATACAATATTTTGCATGTTTTTAATTACCTTGTAAACAAGGCCGAAACCTCCTTCTCCGATTATGTTTTCTTTAGAGAAGTTGTTTGTTGCAGCAGCAACCGTTGCGAATTTGAATGAAGGCAGTTCAAGATCCTCGTTTTTCCTTTCTTCAGCTATTAATTTTGAAAAAAAGGATAAGTCTTCTAATGTTTTCAGCAAAAATGCTCTCGTCTTTTTTTACGAGTGTAATAGTTACCTTTCCTCTTTCGTCTTTTCATTACGAGTATAGCCAAGAATAGTAAGGCGCAGACAACAACTCCGACGACAACAGCTGAAATTAGTATTAGCTTTCCAGGCCTCTTCTTCTTGTTTTCTAACAAGGAAATAAGAAACGAAAATGATGTCAATTATGAGTGCACTATTTGTAAAATGTCACTAGTAGAAAATTTGCTTATTACTACGAAATTTTTTGCTACGGTAAAAAACCGTAATAAAATGTACTTTTTACTACGGAACAATTTTGAAGTCGTAGTAAATACTAGGATTTACCGTAGCAAAAAAGTACTTTGTACGGCCATTTACCGTAGCAAAGCTCTTGTCACGCCCGTATATGCTACGGGGCAAATTCGTAGCAAATGTGTAGCAAAAGCCTTTTTAGTACGAATTTGATACCTTTTGCTACGGTTAATGATCGTAGTAAAAAGCCATTTTTCTACTAGTGTGTAAAAGTAATAGAGTTTACCTAGTTCAGAAATCGGCAATCGGATATAGATATTTTGATTCTTATCTGCTCCGGGAAGCACTCTCGTATCGACGAGATCGCCGAACCATAACAAGCAGCCGCTACCTCCATTATTTATATACGGCTGCGTATACGCTGTGCAGTTATATTTCGTCAAGCACTCGTCTCTGCATTCACTTATGCTCATACTATTATTCATCCAAAATGACAACATATCCGGAATCTTGACCCCTCTAACCTCGAAAAAACCATCTCCATTCGGCAAACTACTCAACGGGCTAATTCGACAGCATCCACCGGACCAATCTTGAGAATCCCAATCCGATCGTGATTCGGGTTCAAATCCCTTCAAACACTCGCATATGGGGGCCCTGTTTATTCTGCAAATACCATTCGGACCGCACTTTGCGTAATCGTCACACGGATCTTTCGGTATCGTGTAAACAAGATCCCACCCGTTTTTTTCGTCGTTCAGAGTGTAACGATGGAGCGTGCCCGATTGATGCAGCACCATTCTTGTCAGAATCGAGCTGTTGCTGTCGTAAGGATTTTGGAGAGATAGTAACTTGTTTTCTTTGTCGAAAACTAATTCAGGCGTATAAGCCTTGTTGTAGAAGGTGGGAATGTTCATGTAAAGCCCATTCCACGCGCCGCTTCTGTATCGTCTATTAAACGCGCCTTTGAAAATAACCCTCTCGGGCAAGCCCTGGTTTACAATCCTGTACACGAACTCACCGGGGGAAGGGTCGTCGTAACTTTTCCATGAAGTCAAATGCTTATCGAGGGCGATATCGGGATCGTACACCATCGGCATTCCAGGTAGCCTGGTGTCGGTTGGATAATCGAAACTCTGCCATATGTAGTAGCTTTCTTTATCATCGTCTAGAAGAACAAGGTTTCCGTTATCTAAGAGGCGTAGAGATGGATTTTTTCGCGATGGAAAAGTAGCCGATGAATTTGATGATGACCAGATGACGATGATTGTGCTCTCGGCTGTTCTTCTTGTATATATAACTAGTGTTGCGTTTCTAGTAATCTCTAAAAACGGTGCGCCTCGATTATCGTCGTTGGTAATGGGATTATTACGGTTTGCAACCCAAACAACTACATCGGGTGTGTTTTTGTACCATATTCCTAGGAATTTTTTATTACCGGATGAGAAGAAGCCGAGTTCGAAAACTTGGTTCGGAGAAATCAAAGTTTGGGCATCACTAAGAGTTTGGTTTGCCGAAAGTATGTGATGATCTGCTGCTGCAAGAGAGGAATTGTTAAGAAAGATTGCATAGTAGAAAAGAAGACACACAATTGTGGTGAAGGGGAAACAAACTTCCATTGAGTTAACTCAGAATTAAGGGAATATGCAATGTATACTGAATCATGAAGATGTTCAACTCATTTTAGCTCATTGAGTTGAGGAAAGAGGAAAGAAACAAGAACCAAACTCTAATTTAAATTAAAGACACCTCTTATTTTAAATAAGGTGGTCAACATTGGAGGCTTGAGTTAGTGGTCTTAAACTATGCCAAAAAGGAAAAGATGATAGTGAATACATAATATTTATATACTTTTTTCATTTTGGCAAAATGAAAAAAGTATATAAATTAAACATATAAGAGTTTGGTGCACATTGTTACACTTGGTGGTTTTATTATGTTACTGGGGGTGCAAGTTGGAATTGAAATTGAAATTTCCGGCTGTTCCGATCCGAAAAGTTTCGATTTTGGAATAACTTTTTTCATTCCGACTTTCGAAACTCAGATTTTCGAATTTTTCCGATTTTTTTGGATTTGAATTGCAATCATATATAAAATAATTGGACTTTGCGATGTCCGATCCAATTTAATTTCCGAAATTAGTTCCGAAAAATTCCGATTTTTTTCCAAAAAATATACCTACAAATAATATGTATTATATAATACTGAATTTAAGTTTTTATTTTGTTTTATGAAACAGTGATTTGATTTAAGTTTTGTTTTAGAATTTTGACATATTAAATTGTTTTTATAAGTTTTTTTGGATTATGATTTGGTTTATTATTATTTTTTTTTTAACTGAAATTTAGTAATTATTAGTTTTACATTTATGGACTTGAATATTCTTATTTTTCGAAATTATTAAAATTCCCAAAAAATTCTGTTAAGTTTTGAAATTTTGAAACTTATGTGATTTCCGAAATTCTGAAATTTCCGAGTCTTTTAGAATTGGAATTAAATTTGGATTGGTTTTGTACTTTCAATTTTTTTTTGAAAATTTTCCGAAAATACTAATTCCTTTCCGCAATTCAATTTGCACTGTTAGCCATTTTTTCTTTGGAGTAGTTACTGATGTCTTTATTTTATTTATTTATTTATTTATCTCGGCTATCTTTATTTGGAGAAGTCGTCCTAGGAATACTAATTTAAATCTGAGATGATAGCACATATCCCCTGGTGTTATTTTTAACGGGTGGAAAAGCCTTATGTTAAAAAATTACAATAAGCTCTGTTTGACTTTGACTAATTTTCCTCGGGAAAATGAGGGATAACCCCTAGTTTTGAAAATATATAGCTCCTATAGATTTTTCTTCTCTAGGCAAAAACCCAAATTATAATCTTAATTTGATAGACACCCCTGGACAAATTGAAGTACCTATTTTGCCGTAACAATTTAAAACCCTAACCCTCAATCTCTCAACTCACGCTCTCTTCTCTCTCCCTCCTTCCACCGCCGTTTTCTCTTCTCTCTCTCTCAAAAACAAATCCTCGGTCTCTTCTCTCTCCCTCCCTCTTCCATCGATTGTTCTCTTCTCTTTCTCAAAACTCTCGTTTTCTTCTCTCTCTAGCTTCCCACCGCTGCTTCGACGTCGCCTGCTCAATCTCCGCAGTTTTAATGACGTTAACTATAAACGCTACAGAGCATAAGGAATCGCGGAAGACAGAGAGAGAACAGAAATTAGAAGTAGAAATCAGGATGAAGCGATGCCTCGTCACGGTGGAGAAGACAATTGCAGGAAATCGTCTCCGTACGATTCGTCGAGAGATCGACGCTCGAGTCACCACAAGGTTCACTTTTTCCATTTTCATCTCACTCAGAATTTGTTTCTCTCTGGCAATCAATTGCAGCATATAAATTTGATTTCGTATCTGTGGTTTCTAATTGGTGAAGATTATTTGAGAAATGATTTGTGTGTTCATTGTGGTAACTTGCCTGTTTGATGTTTAGGTAAATTTTTACCCTAGCAGAGTGTATAGAAATGTTTACCAGAGTGTATGGCAATGAGTTTGGGCAACATTCAATAATATAGAAATGATTATACTATTGAACATTACTATGCATAATCATATTTATATGTAGTAACATAAAGTAACATATGCACCTAGTGTGGATTTTCAATCGATATTTGCAATATAAATTGTTATTTATAGTCATATGTAAAATTCTGTTTTTTTTTTAACTAAAATTGATTCTCACTTTTTATTATCTGATTTTATTTGTCATCTCATTAATTCAGTTTCAAGAACATACAACAAAGCAAATGATTTTTTGTGATAGAATTTCACTACAGTAAGTAAATATATATTTTTTCAACTACATTGTTCTATTCATCATCTTATATAGATTCAATTGTGAAGTTTTTGGTGGTGTAGATGCATTTTATTTATATACATATATAGTCACATGTGGTCATGTACGTGTAGTCATATATAGTTACATATAGTAACAAGATGAACATAACTACATGTGACTATAGTTGACTACATAGTCATATCTAGTCATATGCAGTAACAAGAAGACATAACTACATGTGACTATAGTTCACCAAAGTAAATTTATCAATAAAGTGTTTTTCATTGTTTTTTTGTATTTTTCATGTAATGTAATTCGAATTTTGCAGGTATTTTTTGAGTTCACCAAAGTATTTTTTGTACAGCCATCATCGAATTTTGCAGTTATTTTTTGAGTTTTGGTTTTTTTTTTTTTTTTTTGTGAAGCTGTGAGTTTAATTTTAGGAGTCGACTTGTACATAAAACGCGATTGTTGTGGCAAGAAATATAATAAAAAAAAAAAACTCGAAACTTGTTCCTGGTGGTGGTGCGACAAAACTGATTGTTCATCCATTGAAAGCATAGAAAATGTAATGAATTTTAATGTGCTTCTTAATATATTGAATCACTGTTTATTGGTCTTCAAATGATTTGTTTACTTTTTTTTTATACTTGGGAGTATATGTAGATTCGTGATGAGAATATTTTGTTGGTAATATGATATTGATATTTTATTTATCGAGAATGAAACAGGTGACTACTTTACGTGTGTTTCAACTATTATTTTATCTATGGTGTTCCACTTCAACTTGCTTTGATCTTTGACCTTTGGTTATACGAAGAATAATGACTAGCATACTCTGTTTGTAATTTGATTTTGATAATATAAGCTGTCTCGTATCGCCTGGAGAACAAAGTCAGGTACTTGAAGGGACAAATAAAGTCACATACATGTATATAGTCACATGTGGTCATATACATGTAGTCATATATAGTCATGTGTAGTAACATACAATAATATATGGTGTAGTCATATATAGTAATATATAGTCACGTGTAGTAACATACAGTAATATATGGTGTAGTCACATGTAGTAATATATAAACTATGTAGTCATGTATGAGTTATGTGGGGAGTATCAATGTATACCAGTAGGTGATAGTGCGTGTGTGAACATTTAAATTTGAAGCAAAATTCGTTGTTTGTTTAACTCTCTTTTTTTTTCACAGGTCTTGGTGTTTGAACTACTATGTAGTAAGTTTTTTCACAGGTCTTGGTGTTTGAACTACTCTGTAGTAAGTTTTTGCGGAGTGGATTGTGTTCGTTGTTCAAAACAAGCGGTTCTCGTGTTGACAAGTGCGATTTGAGTCAAATTTAGTCGTATAGATAACTGTAGTCATGTATAGTTCCATGTAGTTATATATATTTATATACAAGCTATGTGGTTTTTCTGATGTATAGTGATCTTGATGATTGTGTTTTTTTTTCAATTTTTTGTTAGGTATTAAATTATTTATAATATCAAGAATCAAATTTTGAATTTTTTTTACTGGTATAGATGATTTTTTTATATATATAATCAACGTTTTTTATAATCGATCGACCATAACTTTGGGGTAAAAAAACAGTACATGGCTACATATAACTATACATGACTATGGTATACTATAGTCATGTGTAGTCAATTTCAGTACAGTAAATTAAAAATTAAAAAATTAAAAATTAAAAAATTAAAAATTAAAAAATTAAAAATTAAAAAAAAAATTAAAAAAAAAATTAAAAATATTTAAAAATTTAAAAATTAAAAAGATTAAAAAAATTAAAAAAAAATTAAAAAACAATTAAAAATTAAAAATTAAAAATAAAATATTAAAAATTAAAAAAATTAAAAAATTAAAAAAAACCACAAAAAGAGGGTACGTATAAAAAATAATAATAAAATAAAAATTTATATTTTTTTTATTAAAAAATCTGAAAAAATGATAAATGCAGGTCTAAAAGTGTGGAGTGCAGTTAGTTATAATGTTGAATGCAGTTGGAAAAGCTGAATGCAGTTGGTTAAAATTTACAAATAAGGGCACAATAGTACTTTTGCCTCTCCAAGGGTGTATCTCAAAGAAATAATTTTAGGGGTGGACTTATCTCTATATATTTTCCATTCTAGGGGTGTATATCAAATGGCCCCATTTTCCTAAGGGTTACTTGCTAATTTTGATATTTATAAATTGGGATTACTAGAAAGAACCTGCTCATCTAAGAAAATGAGTTAAAGTCTTAAAGAAACATTCCCTCCAAAAAATAATTAAAAAAAACCCCATAATATAATATTACCCCCAAATGTTATTTTAATAATTCGCAAACCATCATTATTAATATTAAAAAAAAATCACGTTTTAAAACCCTAACCCATTTCAATTCTCGTTCTTTCTTCTCATTTTCTCATTTTCTCACTTCTCTCTTCTCTTTCTCTTCTCCACTAAAAGTTGAAGGAAAAGCAAAACGTCGACCGACTGTGGTGGTGGTGGTGAAAGAATGTTTGTCCCCACCTTCCCCCGCCGTGTGAAGGGTGGTGATGGATCTGTAATTGGTGGAGGTGGTTTTCACGGACGACGTTGAAGCTGATGCTGGCACTCGTCGTCGAGGACGTAGTGGGTTGTCAATATCTTGAATCGTTTCTGTCTTTTTTTTTTTTTTTTTGACATTGAAATGTTAATTTGTGTTTTTTTGTATGAATTTATTTATTTTATTCTTGTTAAGGATTGGTTGAATTTTCGGTGTAGCGGTGGTCTGGTGACAATGTGGAGGCAGATTTAGGGTTTTTCTGTGGATTGGGCGGAGGACGGCGCGTGAGAAATTCGCGCAAGCTGGAATCTTAATCGACTATGTACATGTTCAATAGTCGATTAAGCTAATTGACTATGCTCTGGTAGTCGATTAAGGTTGATAAACTCCAGTTTTTTATTTTTATTTTTTGGATTTTTTTTATTGATTCCAATTCTATAAATCAATTATAATGTTGGTATATTTTTTTGTTTTCGAAAATGTAGTTGATTTTGCATTTTTTTGTAGTTGTGATTTGTTATTTTTATTAGCAGATTCTTAATCGATTATGCTCTGGTAGTCGATTAAGGTTGATCGACTCCAATTTTTTTTTTTTTTTGGATTTTTTATTTATTGATTCCAATTGTATAAATCAATTATAATGTTCTTATATTTTTTTTTTTTTTGTAAAATATAGTTGATTTTGCATTTTTTGCAGTTTTAATTTGTTATTTTTAGTAGGAGACTCTTAATCGACTGTATTTCGTCATAGTCAATTAATATACCTGATATAAAAAAGTAATTTTAAAAATTAAAAAAATTTAAAGAATTTCCTTAATCGACTATGCTTCATAGTCGATTATAAAACTAATATTAGAAAAAAAAACGGAAAAAAAAAAATCGCTGATGACCAGATGCGTGACGCGGTGATGATGTGGCGGGCCGGGATAAAACTGTTGGTCCCGATACATAAAACGGGTAGTGAATTTAGTAAATTGGTTGAACAAATTAATTAGTGAAAATACGAAAAGATTAGCCGAGGCGAGTTGACTCTGTCCTTAAGACGAAATTTCCCCGCAACGGTGCTAACGGATTAAATGGAAATCGTCTCCCAAGATACAACAGCAAAACTTGGAATAAGAGCACTCCAAATCCCAAGTACGACGAACTGTACTTTGTGTAGAACTTTTCGAGAGAATCTGTGAAGGGTAGGCTTAATATGTAGTAGTAGGCTTGTTTTTGGATTGAAGTGAGGAATTTTGGGAAAGTTAGGGTCTATTTATAAGGTTCGAAAAGTAGTGTCCTTTGGAGCAAAAAGGTACCTTTTGTTTTGAATGGTTGCACCATTTCGAGTTGAGCCAATTGGGAGTGGTTGCACCATTTCGAGTTGAGCCGAATGGTTTGCATTGGTTCGGCCGCACCAATTCAGACCAATCAGACCAATCGAGATGGGCTTCGAGTAATAAAGGGCCCAATGGGTTAAAAACCCATGACCTAATGTTTTTGGCCCGTCCCAATATTTTGATATATATACAGCTCAGTACTTCTCTACTTTTCCAATGTGGGATAACTCAAATCCCACTTTCCTTATATTTTGGACTAGTAATTTTTTCATTCACCACAAAATTGGTTCTAATCCAAAATTCATTTATATACTCAATTAGACCGTACAATAACATTGATAAAAAATTGTTCATGACTCAATTTTTAACCAATTTTCCCAACAAAAACTGGAAAAGATAATGACTGGAAATGGATGTGGGTTTTTCTCAAATGAAAAGAAATATTTTTGGCCTCTCTCCATTAAAAAAAGTAATGAAGGGGTTTCATCAAATAGCCCCTTATAAATTATGATGAAATAACACGAAGAGCAACTCCAACAGTCCATATAAACTTATAGTTTACATCTTTTGAATATGAAAAGCATGCTCCAACAAGAAAATGTAAAAGTTATGAAGATGTAAAATTTTAATTTTGGTTTCTTAAATTTGAGAAACAAAAGTTGGAATTTAACACATTATGTAAAACTTAAAAGCAATAAAATAATCAAACTTTGCTCCTTTTAACCATCAAATCTTAAAAACAATAAAACATTACTTCAGTTCTATTTTAATACCAATTTTATTTTGGATATTTTCATGTTTCAATCCGTAGTAATTAAGGATTATGATATGCAATATATTAGCCTCTGGAATATAGTAGTCATATTTAAGAAATACTCAAATATTAATTTATCAATCATTTTTCAAATGACCAGCTGTTGAAATTAATTCAAAACTAAAATATTGGCAAAATATTAAAATATAATAGTTGTGTAAAATAGAAAAACAATAATGTTGGAGTGCGATGTTAAAAGTGGTTATGCATAACATTGTTCGTTTGCTATATTATAGATGTAGACAATCAATTTAAACAAGCTGTTGGAAATGACCTAAACGTGCAGCTATAAAAGTGTATAATCGTCATCTCATTCAAATTTCAACCACATAATGTTATGGGGGTCTTTGATATAACCCATCTATACTTCTTGAGACCTAACTATTTTGAATCATTTGAGAAAAGTCATTTCCTAATTTCAGTCGCCCATTTTTCCAATTATGCCCATGCTACCTCATCAACACTATCAACAATTATGCCCCACCTCATCAGCCGTTTTTTTTCTTTACTTTTTTTTCGTTTTTTAACTTTTTTTTTTCTTCTATCGGTTATATTAATCGACTATGAGATATAAGCATAGTCGATTAAGAATCTGACTACTAAAAATAACAAATCACAACTACAAAAAAAATACAAAATCAACTATATTTTACAAAAATAAAAAATATACAACTATTACAATTGATTTATACAATTGGAATAAATAAATAAATAAATAAATAAATAAATAAATAAATAAATAAATAAATAAATAAATAAATAAAATTGGAGTCGATTAACCTTAATCTACTACCAGAGCATAGTCGATTAACTTAATCGACTATGAACACGTACATAGTCGATTAATGTTCCAGCCTGCACGAATTTTTCTACTCGCGCCGTTATCCGCCCGATCCACCAAAAACCCTAAATCTGCCTCCCCTCGTCACCACACCGCCACCATACCACACTTTGTCAAGCATAATGGGAGTTCGATCTCCCAGTCTCCCAGTTTCAAGAACGGGGATCCTCCATTAACGACATTACTGAAGAAATCCATTAAAATATAACAAGCAGAAAATAGAGAAAAAAAAATAACACAGAGAAGAGAGAAGATGAAGAATCTGGAAATTCATACTTTGTTTCTAACAAACTGTAATCTTGTCAAAATCAACATAAAATTTTAACTTATACTCACACTCATGACAAATTTTGCAGAAATTAATCACAAAACAAACTGGGTGTTGCTTTTCTCTCTCTTCATTTCTTACACGATTTACTACAGAAAAATAAAAAAAATATAAAAGGATATTAATGTGTATACGACTTCAATCCCGTTAATGATATGAGTGACGACCATTTTCATATGTTTAGAGAAAAAGAAGAAGAGTAGGAAAAATGAAGAGAGAGAGAGAGAGAGAGAGAGAGAGAGAGAGAGAGAGAGAGAGAGAGAGAGAGAGAAGAGGAAGAGGAAGAGGAAAAAAGAGGAGAGAGAAAGAGGAAGAAGAGGAGGAAAAGGGAAAGAGATAAAGAAAAAGTGTGCCTAGAGAAGAAGAAAATGAGGAAAAGGGAGAAGAGAGAGTATATGTATGTAGGATAAATGAAAAATGAGACTAGAGTTTTGAAAAAGTATATTGAACTATAAGGGTAGTTTTGAAATTATGAAAAATCATATGAGTGGAATATTAGCTGAGGGAGTTTTCTCTAATTATTTTTTGGGACGGACTGTTTCCTTAACTATATTTTCTAGATGGAGAGGTTTTCTCTAATTTTCCCTAATGTTATATATTATTGGGTTAAATGCAATTTGCACCCATGTACTATAACCACTGTCGCATTTACATCCCTGAATTATGAAATGCGACAAAATGACCCCTGCTGTTAGCATTTGTTAGTCTTTCCGTCCAACATGGATGATGTGGCACTTTGAACAAAATTTTTGATCTTTTTGTGACAATTTTGCCCTTCCAATAGAATATAAGAAAAAAATCAAGTAAATGAAATAATTTCTATTATTTCAAAAAAATGGCAAAATAATTAAAGAAAAATAAAAGCACTTTATTTTTATTTTATTTTTGAACTGGTAATTTAAAATTATTTATTTCATGCTCATATTGTATTTTTCTTTTTCCCCAAAACTAATATTTTTCAACAAAAAAATCCATAATAATCTATTATATTTAAACATTTTGAGAATGAAAAGAAGAAAAGAAAAAATGGATATAATTTCTTACCCTAGGATTATGTCTTGAAAAAATGGCACGAAAATGTCTTGTTCAATATTATAAATCAAGGGTAAAAAGGTAATTACATTGTACAAACTAACGGTGTCAAAATTCGGATCGTTGACTGGTAATATCAGGGGCCATTTTATCGCATTTCGTAGTTTAGAGAATAAATGCGACAGTGGTCATAATACAAGGGTGCAAGTTGTATTTAACCCTATATTATTTTATGGTACATTGAAGACTATGCCATTAAAAACTAGAGGGTAAATAGCACTTAACCCCCTTGTGGTTTGGACATTTTGCACATGACCCCCTTATGGTATGAAATTAAGCACATAAACCCCTTGTGGTTTTGACATTTTGCACATGACCCCCTTATGGTATGAAATTAGGCACATAACCCCCTGTGGTTGTGAGATTTTACACATGAGCCCCTTATGGTATGAAATTAACACATAACCCCATTGAATAGAAAACTGGAAAAAACTAAATTACCCCTATGAAGTCAAAAGTTCTTGTTTTAATTTAAAAATAATTATTCTATAAAATGAAAAGCTTAATGTACTTTTTTGCAAAATGAGAAATATAATATATTGTGTTTTTTTAATTTTACACAATAAAAGTTATATAATACTAGTTATTGTACGGTTGAAAAATTATTCAGTTTATTCAATTTTAGAAATCAATTTGAAAATCTCATGCTACAAATCAGATATAAAATGATTACACTCGATAAAAAATTATGAACTATCAATTTCTTTGTTCAATTATAATTCGGTAAAATAATTATATATATCACAAAGCTTTAATATTATTATTAATTATGATTATTATTATTTACTAGTTTTTATATAATATATTATATTATAATTGTTATCCAATTTTATTTTTTTTAGGAAACAAAGTCCTAATTTTTTTTTCTTATGGAAAAATCTAAAAAAACACAATCCTCTAAAGTTGAAATGAAAATTAAATTTAAAAAAAAATTCTAATGCTAAAACTAAAATAATTTTTTTGACTTTCGAATCAAATCATAAATTGTTCGAAAAATATCACTTCAATTACGAGAATAATTTAAAAAGAAAAGAAAAATAGAAAACAATAGGATATTTGGGTCTTTTGCAGGAATTAGTTTGACATTTTTTCCACAACCACTCTCTTTTTTGGAGAGTAGGCTTCACTTGCCCAAATTGGATGGAAAAATGTAACTCAAGTTACCTCCATAAATCTCGACGGGTATGTGTTTAATCTCATACTAAAAGAGGGGGCCACGTGCAAAATATCCAAACCACAAAGAGATTAAGTAGTATTTACCCAAATAAAAAAAGATAATAATAATCAATTACCTACACTCACTCTATCTATAGTGAACACTTTAATTTCCATTAAAAAAAAAAAAAGTAATTAGTTTTGTTGCCCAAATTTCTCTTTTGGAAAAGCTAAACCATCCCATTGTGAATAGTCGTTGCTCTTCAAATACAGCCCTGCCCATATAAACCAACCACAGAAACATTTGTGTACAAAGAATTGATACTAATACCTCCAATTTCTCATCTTCTAATAAACCAATTGGGTAGCAAAAAAATCTATAAACAAAAAGAGTTGATTATTTCTGCACCAAATGCTCAACATCCCCAAGCTGCACTTCCCTACTTCCATGCAACTCATATCCATCTCGAAACAACAACTCAATCTGCTCCAACGATTTCCCTTTCGTCTCCGGTACATATCTGTAAACAAACCCGACTGAGAGTGCAGAAATAGCCGAAAATATAAAGAAAGCTCCACCGACTGTAATTGCACGAGCAACCGAAAGAAACGACATTGCCACAAAACCGCTACAAACTCTATTACCCACCGCCCCAAGTGCCGACGCTTGAGCACGAACCCTCAAAGGAAATATCTCCGAAGTCAAAACCCAACAAACCGGCCCTATTCCCACCGAGAAGAAAGCCACATTCCCACAAACAGACAAAATCGCCAAACCGATTCCAACCGATCCATCTCCGAGAAAAGACAAAGTCGCCCCTAAGCTAAACAAGCATACCGTCATTCCAATTGTGCTCACGTATAGAAGAGGCTTTCGGCCGACTCTATCAATGAGAAGAATAGCTATTAGTATAAACGCCGTTTTGGTCACCCCAACAGCAACTGTTGCACCCAGAAGCTTTGACTTATCCGTAATCCCGGCCGATTTAAATATTTCGGGGCTGTAATAAACAGTTGCATCGATTCCCGTGATTTGTTGGAAGCACTGGATTCCGATTCCAGTGATCAACATTCTAGAAAGTTCCGGAGAAGGGCTTAGAAGCTCACGCCAAACGGCTTTCCCTTCCGTGTTATTCAGTCCAGCGGCTAATAGTATCTCCGCCAGCCTCTCCTCCACCTCCACTTCGTTGTCGTTCGTCTTCAAAAGTACTTCTCTCGCTTCTTCAGCTCGATTCTTCATCACTAACCATCTTGGAGATTCGGGAATTACGCACAATGCGAAACCTATGAAAACCGACGGTAAAATTCCAACTGCGAGCATAATTCTCCAGCTAGTGTGCGATGGAAGTCCCGAAAATACGTAATTCGATACGTAACCTAAAAGTATTCCGAGGTTTATGAAGATTTCCGGGAATGAAGTGAGAGAGCCTCTCGAAACAGTTGGAGAGATCTCTGCAATGTAAACAGGGGCGATCATTACGCCGAACCCGATTCCTATACCGGCCAAGATTCTTCCAATCATAAGTACTTGGAATGACGGGGCGAATGTCATAACAGCAGCGCCTGCTTGGAAAATAATGGCGGCTAAACCCATAGTCCATTTTCTGCCGATTGCGTCAGATGTTCTTCCTCCTCCTAAACTACCCAAAAGGGACATTACGCTCAAAATGCCGATCAGAACCTCTTCTTGCACCTCTGTTATTTTTAGATCTTCTTGAATGAATAGGATTGCTCCACTCATTACTCCAACATCTACCAAAAAAAAATTAAAAATTAAAACTAAAAAAGAAATTGAAAGTAAACTTAAAAATTTCAACTTTTTGCATCAGTTAAGAACGACGAGCAAATCGAACGGTAGAAATTATTTTTGGAATTGTGAGGATGAGTCGGTATCTAAAGGAACTAATTGAAACTCCCAGTTTTCAAGTGAATCCTCTAACAAAATAATTTACACATTTTACGCATTATTATAGAATTCGACTTCTACTTCGTAAATATAATTATACAGTGAAACCTCTAAAAAATAATATTTAAGCGAGATTATTAGTTTATCGATGTTTCTACTGTACTAGGATTAGCATCAATGGTGGTATCAAAAGGCACCAAACCTTGTTTTGAATCTTGATATTTAACATGAATTAGAGTTTGACTTCTCCCATTTCAATTTATTGTTGTCTTAATACAAACAAAAAGGTTAAAAGGAAAAAAAAAACATAGGATCAATCTTCCTTGTAATATGTAAGAAGAAAATGTGAGAAAAAAAAAAAGGGAAGAAACAGTTAGTTTTACCATAACCGAGGAGAACACTGTTGAGAGAAGCAAAGACAGAACAGGCAAAAACATATTTCCTAGTTGTCTTCTTCCTCTGCAGCTGAGTGTGGTGTTCTGAAGCATTATAATCATCACCAAAACTATCATCATCGTTTGTTAGCTGCTGAGAATCCATTCTTGTGTACCTGTTTTTGCCACCCAAAGACAAACCCATCTCGTTATTCCCATTTTCTTGGACTCCCACCAAACCCATCTTTCTTACAGAACCCACTTTTCTCTGTCTGAATTTCAACTGAAAAACCTGAAGAATAATGGAGTAAAGGGTGTTTCTCAGATCTGAAACGGCAGAGATGAAGATTTTGACTTGGCATGTGGGGCCTCTTTTTTGTTTATGTAAGCAATACCAATTTAGCCTTGACCTCTGACTTGTCTAAGGTTTCATGGAGCTTTCCAAGTAACAGCTATTTTACAAACTATTTCTTTTATTTTCATTTTTAGTCGACATAAAAAAATCCATGCCCGAATTTTATTCTAATAATTAAATATAAATTAAATAATTTGGTATGAAAAAAAAGAAAAGAAAAGTGCATCTACTTTAAATAATCTAGTTAATTATTATGTTGATCCAAAAAATATATTTTGTTGGTTGAAAATATTATTATGGTGTTTAGAAAATTTCAAGTTTACTTTGCTCAATGTTATTAGTAGATTTTGGTGGTGTTTGTGAGAGGTATCACTTTACCTTCTTATACTCTCTATTGCATTAATTTGTTTTTTTTTATTTGCAAAATTGTCTCAATGTGGCCCTCGCTCTTAGTTTTAAGACATTTGACCTTAACACCGTTTGATCTAAGTTTGAAAAAAAAAAAAACACCCCTACCAGTTTAAATAATTATTAGAAAAATTTTAAAAATATAAAATAATTTGTGGCTGACGTCGTGGACTATGTTTTCTCATTGTCTTGAATTTTTTATTATTTAATATTTTTTTTATTGTTTTTTAACAATTATTTAAATTGGGAGATGTGGCGTTCAGAGCTTAGATTAATCAGTGTTAAGGTCCAATGTCTGACAACCAGCAGCGATGACCACATTGAGACAATTTTTCAAATACAAAGGGGAAAATCGATGTAATCGAGAATAGAAGGGAGTAAAGTGATATCGAACCAAAGTACAACGGCCGAAAGTGGAATTTACCATAGATTATATATGAATAAGGGTAAATCACACCCATGTCCCTAAGGGATGCTAAAATAACTTTAAGGTCCATGTGGTATTGATTACTACACCCACGCCCCTAAGGGATACTAAAATAACTTTAAGGTCCACGTGGTATTGATTATTACACTCATCCCCTGAAACATAGTTAGAAACTCTAATTAGGGTTGTAACTGTGTTCGTTCGGTCGATTACCAGCCTAAAAACCGACCCATCCGTCAAACCATTTTTGCTTAAATTTGAAAACCGTTGTCGACCCAAACTTGGTGTGTCGGTTGATGGTTGACAACCGAATATTTGGTTCCGGAATGGGTCGGTTAATGGTTTATACCCGCCACCCAGTTCACGTAAAAAAAAATCAAATTTTGGAGTAAAAATATCCACATTCTGCGTAATGCCACGGTGTGATCATTATTTATCTGTTCAAAATAATTAATAACAATTTAATGAAAAAATATAATTATAAAATTCAAAGTAATTTCAAACATGCACATGAGATTTAGTGGAGTTCTGTGAACTTTTTGTTTAAACTTGGGCATGCAGAAACTGGTTGAAGATTTATGTCAAAATATTTTCCTTTATTGATTGTTTTAGAATTTAAAATACTAATTATTTTGATAATTTCAATAACCACTTAAGAAAACACGGCATTTATTTTATATTTTTAATAAAATTTTAATAGTGTAGTTGGATGATCGATAATTATCGGTCAACCAAGTTTTCATAATATTAGAAATCACCGACCGACCCATTATAGATGGGTTGGTTGAAACTTTCGACCCGATCCAATGGGTCGGTTAAAAATTGGTTATCCGCGTAAAAATATGGCCGGTAATAGATCGGTTGGTGGATGAAAACCAACACAGTCCCAGCCCTAACTCTAGTGAGTTAATGTATTGGATACATTATTCCGATAGAGTTCTAACAAATACAAACTATTACTTTTAGCTAGTGGTGGAAACAACATAGAGTTATGCCATGACATGGCGCGCCCCAACACATCAAATAATATAGAGTCATTATAAAATAAAAATTTGTGAAAGTTCGGTTTACAAGTTATTAAAAAAACAAACTAAATTAATGTAAAAAAATTTAGAAAATAAAAAATAAAAGTTAAATTGAAACCGACATAATATTTGTCGATCTACCCTACTTCTATAAGAAAAAGGAGAAAATACTACTACATATTTGATTTCCACCCAATTTTGATAATTGACCCTAAATTCGCCCCTCTGGATTGTTCTTCTTCCTGAAATCACATCACAATCACAATCAATCTTCATCGGCGCATAAAACCTCAGAATCATGGTGTTTGTTAAATCACCGGATAACAAAACCCTAATTCTGAATCTTAATCCTTCCACCACCACCAGACAGGCGCTTAGCCTCCACATCCAGCGGAATTACCTAATACCCATTGCTCAACAGCGCCTCTACTTGAGCCACCGTCTTCTCTCCACCCCGGAGAACGACGCCGTATTACTCTCTCACCTCGGCGTTTCCCCAAACTCAACCCTAACCCTACACGTTCCCTTCCTCGGCGGTATGCAAGCCCCCGTCGCTCCCAAGAAGTTAGAATTCCTCGGCACAAGGCCGCCGCCCAATTACGTCGCCGGTCTCGGCCGTGGTGCCACTGGATTCACCACCCGTTCTGATATTGGCCCGGCCCGTTCCGCCCCCGATTTGCCGGATCGATCCGCCGCTGCAATTGGCGTTACCGCGCCGCCCCTTGGGGCGGCTGCGGTTGGCCGTGGCCGTGGGAAGGGCACTGGGGATGAGGATGAAGATGAAGACCCGGAGGAGAAAGGATACGACGAGAATCAGAAGTTTGACGAGTTTGAGGGAAACGATGCCGGATTGTTTGCCTCTGCGGAGTATGATGAGGAGGATAAGGAGGCTGATGCTGTGTGGGATGCAATCGACGAGAGGATGGATTCGCGTAGGAAAGATAGGAGGGAGGCTAGGCTTAAGGAGGAAATCGAAAAGTATCGAGCCTCGAACCCTAAAATTACGGAGCAGTTTGCTGATTTGAAAAGGAAATTGTACACATTGTCCACTTCGGATTGGGATAGTATTCCTGATATAGGAGATTACACTTCCAAGAATAAGAAGAAGAGGTTTGAGAGTTTTGTTCCTGTTCCCGACACTCTCTTGGAAAAAGCAAGGCAAGAAAAGGAGCATGTGAGTGCTTTGGATCCGAAGAGCAGGGGAGTTGGTGGTACTGAAACTCCGTGGGGGCAGACCCCCGTTACGGATTTGACTGCTGTGGGTGAAGGGAGAGGAACCGTGTTGTCCTTGAAGTTGGATAGATTGTCCGATTCTGTTTCCGGGTTGACTGTGGTTGATCCTAAGGGTTACCTGACCGATTTGAAGAGCATGAAAATTACTAGTGATGCAGAGGTATCCGATATTAACAAGGCTAGGTTGTTGCTCAAATCGGTGACACAGACGAATCCAAAGCATCCAAATGGTTGGATAGCCGCGGCTAGGTTGGAGGAGGTGGCAGGGAAGATTCAGGCGGCCCAGCATTTGATCAAGAGAGGGTGTGATGAATGTCCGAGAAGCGAGGATGTTTGGTTGGAGTCGTGCAGATTGGCGTCCCATGCTGATGCTAAGGCTGTTATTGCAAAGGGTGTTAAAGCGATTCCTAAGTCGGTGAGGTTGTGGATGCAAGCAGCCAAGCTAGAGCAGGATGATACGAATAAAAGTAGGGTGTTGAGGAAAGCGCTTGAGAATATTCCGGACTCGGTCAGGCTCTGGAAGGCAGTTGTCGAGCTTGCCAATGAAGAAGATGCGAGACTTTTGCTGCAGAGAGCTGCGGAATGCTGCCCGTTGCATGTGGAGTTGTGGCTGGCTCTTGCTAGATTGGAAACTTATGAAAATGCAAAGAAGGTGTTGAATAAAGCTAGAGAGAAGCTTCCTAAGGAGCCAGCTATATGGATCACTGCTGCCAAGCTAGAAGAAGCTAATGGCAACACTGCCATGGTCGGGAAGATTATTGAAAGAGGTATACGAGCTTTGCAGAGGGAAGGCCTGGAAATCGACAGAGAAATGTGGATGAAAGAGGCTGAGGCAGCTGAAAGAGCTGGTTCCGTTGCAACTTGTAAGGCTATAATCGAAAATACTATTAAGGTTGGTGTAGAGGAAGAAGATAGGAAAAGAACATGGGTGGCTGATGCTGAGGAGTGCAAGAAGAGAGGTTCCATTGAGACAGCAAGGGCCATCTATGGACATGCACTTAATGTGTTCTTGACTAAGAAGAGCATATGGCTTAAAGCTGCTCAGCTTGAAAAGAGCCACGGAACAAGAGAATCTCTTGATGCACTGCTGCGAAGGGCAGTTACTTACATTCCGCATGCTGAGGTTTTGTGGCTAATGGGGGCTAAAGAAAAGTGGCTTGCTGGTGATGTACCGTCTGCTCGGGCAATTCTTCAAGAAGCATACGCTGCTATCCCCAATTCTGAGGAGATTTGGCTTGCTGCATTCAAGCTTGAGTTTGAGAACCAAGAACCCGAGAGAGCAAGAATGCTTCTTGCAAAGGCACGTGAAAGGGGTGGAACAGAGAGAGTTTGGATGAAATCCGCAATAGTTGAGAGGGAACTAGGGAACACCGCTGAGGAGAGGAGGTTATTGGACGAAGGGCTGAAACTATTCCCTTCGTTTTTCAAGCTTTGGCTGATGCTGGGGCAGTTGGAGGAGCGTCTCTCGAACTTGGACAAAGCCAAAGAAACATACGAGCTGGGCTTGAAGCATTGCCAGAACTGTATCCAGTTATGGCTTTCGCTCGCTCACCTGGAGGAAAAAGTAAACGGTCTAAGCAAAGCTCGTGCAATTCTTACTATGGCCAGAAAGAAAAATCCTCAGAATCCTCACCTCTGGCTTGCTGCAGTTTGGGCTGAGGCCCGACATGGGAATAAGAAGGAATCTGATATATTGATGGCCAAGGCATTGCAGGAATGCCCCACTAGCGGTATTCTGTGGGCTGCTTCGATAGAGATGGTTTCTCGGCCTCAGCAGAAAACGAAAAGCAGAGATGCTTACAAAAAATGCGGTGACGACCCACACGTACTTGCTGCCGTTGGGAGGATATTTTGGCACGACAGGAAGGTTGATAAAGCTAGGTCCTGGTTCAACAGGGCCGTTACTCTTTCTCCGGATATTGGGGATTTTTGGGCATTGTACTATAAATTCGAACTTCAACACGGTACGGAAGAGACCCAGAGGGATGTTTTGAACAGATGCGTAACAGCAGAGCCAAAGCACGGTGAGAAGTGGCAAGCCATATCGAAAGCTGTGGAGAATTCACATCAGCCTACTGAATTCATCTTGAAGAAGGTGGTTGTTGCAATTGGTAAAGAAGAGCATGCAGCTGAGAATAGTAAAAACTAGTAGCCATCGTAATACAAGTCCTAGGTAATTTTTTTTAGTTTATTTTTTTTACCTGTTCTATCAGTAGATGTTCTATTGACTTTATTTTTCTTTTTCTGTGTTGAACCTTTTGAGATGGTTGGTTTTTTTCGAACTTGTTATGTTGATCTTCAATGTTTGCACTTGGAAGTAATTTTTCATTTTTTTATGAATTTAATTTTTGTACTTGCTTTAAACTTACAGCTGTCTGTCTAGCCATGATGCCTCGTTCAACTGTGGAAGTTCTCCTTAAAAAGTTGGATTTTGTTCTTTTAACATTTATCTTCTCATTTCCGGGTGAGAACTTCGTAATTTTCTTATCTAGTTATGTATGATGAGTGGTCATTGCACATCCATAATACAATGCAAGGTATCAAGGCGGTATAAACTGTTTGAGATGATTCCTTCTGTCAATGCAGGGTGCTTGTTGATGACCTTTACTTGTTACAATACTCAGATTCTTGAAGTAATTCGTTTGGTTTCTTTTTTTTTTTTTTTTACTGCAGTTGCAACCTTTAAGCTGTCAACCCGATGATGTTTGGAGAGATACTTTAATACATTAGTCATTTGTGGAAGGTTTTTCGAAGTTGTATTCTTTTCTTTATTTCACAACTTGTGCATAAAATGAAAATGGATAGTCAATATATCTTGTTTTGTAGTATCATATTTCTTATGGTTAAATTGTGACAAAAGTATACTGGCGGGACTCCTGATTGATCTAAGCTGATCGTAAAGATGGCTAAAATATGACAGCAGAAAAAAAGTAAAGCATACTTAGTTCTGTTATCTCTGAACCCAAAAGATGTGATATATATCCAGGTTTCATTTTTCTTATTGATGCCTCATTTGTGTTGTTTACATCCCTTGAGATCTGTTCTTGCCTTTTTTTTCTCAGCATTTATTTGTACTGATGGTGAAGGCGTATTTACTGGAACACCATTACATGGATGTTGATAAAGTTGGTTCCTAGTTCGACAATTGGGACTCTTGTTTTGTTTGATTAGAGACCAGAAGGTTTATAAACGAGGACGAGGACAATTTTGACTGGGTTTTACCTCTTGTACGGGTTTTTTCTTGCAAGGTATTTGTGGAAGTTCACATGTTCTGATTTTCCGACGACTTGGGAGTAATTCTTTGGTGGTTCTTTAACATTTATCTTTGTTGAAATACAAAACGATAGAGTAGATATGATGAATGGTTACACACAAAAACTTGTCCAGTTTCATCGTTATTTACGGAATGACCTGCTTTCACTAATGTTCAAATATGATCAAGCATTGCCATGCTGTATTTTGGAGTTTATTATTCAAATAATAACCCTCATGAAAAGGAAACGTTTGCTTCTGTTTTCATCCACTTTTATTCTTTTACCGAAACGAATTTGTTTTTGTCAAGATTTTCAAAAAACAATTCCAACACAAGTTTGATTTGAGTGCTACAGGAAAAGTTATATATTCACATCAAAACAAATAAATATCACTTTATTTTTCAAATTTTTCTTCTATAATATATTTTCCCAACACCTTGAAACATGATTTAACCGCTTCAGTATCTTTTGTCTCATGTCAAATAATAAACAAACATTACTTTAAATTTTAAATTATTTCCCCAAAAAAAATGAAAATAATTCTCAAAACTAATCCAAATTTTATGTTTTATCTTTACATCAGAAGGTAACTTAGTTACCAATTTAAACCAAAAGACAGTTATAACCATGGTTGGGGGACCGGTGTAATGGAGCAAAGACAGCACTTCATATATGCAATTTTTCGTCGATGTTGTAATGTTAACTTGATTGCAAGGACGAGCCTTTAGCAGCATTTATGTTTCCATATATACCAAGAACAAACATAAACGAATGGTACTAAAGATAATCTTTTGGCGTTCCATGAATAAAACCTATTCCGATTGTTCTTCACATCTCTATAACAATTTATTTTTTCTCGTTACATTCAATCTGAGAGCATTGAATTTCTACAATAAATGGTTTCGAATTTCGATCCCCATTAAAAGACTTAAGCCAACCCAACAAGCTTCTCACTCACCTCCCAAAGTTTACGTGCTTTCTCTGCATCACTCGCTTCTTTCGAGAGCTGGTTCTCGAATGAGGATGAGTTGTTATTCCAGCTCCAGTACACCCCCGATTTCGACAGGCTCGGATCACTTATTACCTGAACTTAGGGATATAATAGGTATCACAAAAAAATTAAAAAGAAACATAAATTAAAATAGATATTTGTCTCTGTGTGTGTGGATGACTGACCTGAGCAAGTCTTTTTCCGGCTTCTTCCTCGGAAACGTAACCTTTGGTGATGTACTTTTGGAAAGGAGGGAAGAGAATTCTGAACAAGGGAATATGCTCTCTGAAGAGTCCGGTTTCGGCAATACAACCGGGGTAGAGCGATGCAAACGCAATCCCGGTTTCTTCATGGTAACGTCTGTGGAATTCTTGCATCGTCAGCATATTGCAAACTTTGCTATCTTTGTATGCCTTTGCTCCGTCAAATTCACCGCCATCTATCATCGATGATGTTCCAACTCCGTTCAGTCCTCCGGCGAGTCCCCTCAGATCACCCAGGTTTGCCTTTGGCGGCACGTTCCCAGCTAACGTGTTTGTGTTTCCTGTTTATTTATTCACCACAAGCCAGTTAAAAAAATCAAATCTTTATCAAAATAATTCGACTTTCCCACGAATGTTTGTGAATAATTCTGATTTCATTTCTCATTTGAGAATACGTTAAGGTATTCGTTTTGCATTTGAAAATTTCTCTGTTCTACTCTTTCAAAACATAAACAAACACTACTTACATTCTCGAAATGAAATAAAAATGTATCCTAAAAGTATAACGGAACATAACAAACAAAAAAAAAATGATCAAACAGAAGTACCTGTGATAGAGCCAACGATGATGTGGCGCCTTTGCGGGTGGTCCGACTTCTTGAGGTCCTCTAAAAGCAATCTCGAAAGTAGAAAATGTCCAAGATGGTTAGTCGCAACACTAAGCTCAAACCCATCGGCACTAAAACTCGGCTCTTTTGCAGTCGGAAAATAGACAGCAGCATTGCAAACAAGCACATCCAACGACCTCTCCGAGCGTCTGAAAGTCTCCACAAATTGGCGGACGCTTTCAAGAGAAGCAAGATCGAGATGCATAACTGTGTAGTTCTCCTTCGACATGCCGACCGATTTAGCAGCTTTTTCGGCCTTGAGGAAATTCCGGCATGCCATAATTACATGCCATTTTCCAGTTTCTGAAAGTGCCTTTGCAGCGGCGAGGCCGAGTCCCGATGAGGCTCCGGTGATTATTGCGGTGCCTTTGCGCAGTGTTTTCTTGTTTTCCGATGACGCCTGATTGGTCGATGGAGCTGTCGCTGCTGTCTGTGCTTTGATTGGTCCGATCGACAGTTTTTTCCTTAGTTCCTTCAAGGATAATTATCCATTCATTTCATTTTATTCTAAAAGAAAAATGATCTTTTGTTCTGTAAAAACAATCAAGTTCATTGCGGCCAAATATCAAACACATTAAGTGCAATGAATAAACATAACATTCACTGAATGCTCTTTAAGCCATCTTGAGTTTATTATTACAGCTATTCACACTATCAAACTATTATAATAATAATTACATTGGATTTCCCATGCTTAACATGGGAAACAAAGAATCTATACACAGCATAATTTAAAATAATTGTTGATTATTATAAACAAGAAAAGTGATAAAAAATGAAATTAATTATAGATATGATTTGCATTACCTTGTTAAAAGAGAGAGAGAAATCAGCTTTATGAATAGTTGGCAACGAAGCTCCAAAGAGGGAACTCTCTTTTACAGCAATTCCCTTACTCTGACAACAACATCATAAAACCCATATATAAATCAAACCCAACATTTAATTTATTAAATAAATAAATAAAAAGAACTTTTTTGTAGAGATGTAAATCTGCAGCATACAAACATACCTCTTTGGTAATGCAGAGAGTAGACGAGGGAAGCAAAGAAGAAGCTTGGAGAGCCATAATATGAGAGAGTTGGCAGATGATTTTGGTTTTCTTGATTCCAAACAATTATACTTTGTTTCCAGTGTGTAGTAATTGTTTCTTCCCCATTGTGTAGTTGTTTCCAGTGTAAGATAAGGTGCGGTCGTGGATTAAGGATGCTGTATCCTACATCAACTTACTTTGTCCAATCAGAATTCGAGCTTTGGATTCTCCGATTTTTTATTTGTATTTTTTAACTGAAATGATTTGTGCAGGCACAAATTAAACATTCAGGCACATTTTTTACCATTTCTCAAAAACCAAAAGGTAAAAAACTCAAAAAACTCTCTCTACCCTTTCGATTTTCTTTCGCAAAGCCCGTGCAAATCGTCAACAGATCGGAGGTAATTTTTACGTTTTTACGATCCTCATGTTATGTAGATTACGAATCCGAAAAAAAAACGAAAAAAAACCGCACTTGGGGACGCTCGCGCGATTTTACGCGAGCGCATCCACTTCGCTCGCGTAAAATTGCACGAGCGTATGAATTTAAGTTTTTTTTTTTTTTTTTTTATTTTATTAAAAACCGGTTTAAAAATTGGGCTCGCGTACGGGGGTCCAACAAAACCTAAGCATATTTTTAAACTAATTAGAAAAAATCCGTAACTCTACTATAGACATAATTAGAAAAATTATTACTCACATCTC